TTCATCAAGTAGACATACCCATATCTACTCAAGTCATCAGTGAGAGTGAGAACATAACGATATCCTCCGCGAGCCTCAACGCTCATTGGACCGCACACATCGGTATGTATGATTTCCAATAAGTTGGTTGCTCGCTCCATTGTTCCGGAGAACGGAGTCTTGGTCATTTTGCCCATGAGGCATGGTTCGCATGTGTCAAATGATTCATAATCGAGAGACTCTAAAAGTCCATCAGCATGGAGCTTCTTCATGCGCTTGACACCAATATGACCAAGGCGGCAGTGCCACAAGTATGTGGGACTATCGTTATCAACTTTACATCTTTTGGTATTCACGCTATGAATATGTGTAACATTACGTTCGAGATTCATTAAGAATAAACCATTGACCATCGGGGCATGACCATAAAACATATCTCTCATATAAATAGAACAACCATTATTCTCGGATTTAAATGAGTAGCCATCTCGTATTAAACGAGATCCAGATACAATGTTCATGCTCAAACTTGGCACTAAATAACAATTATTGAGGTTCATAACTAATCCCGTGGGTAAATGTAGAGGCAGCGTGCCGACGGCGATCACATCGACCTTGGAACCATTCCCGACGCGCATCGTCACCTCGTCCTTCGCCAGTCTCCGTTTATTCCGCAGCTCCTGCTGTGAGTTACAAATATGAGCAACGGCACCGGTATCAAATACCCAGGAGTTACTACGAGTACTGGTAAGGTACACATCAATTACATGTATATCGAATATACCTTTAGTGTTGCCGGCCTTCTTATCCGCTAAGTATTTGGGGCAGTTCCGCTTCCAGTGACCCTTTCCTTTGCAATAAAAGCACTCAGTCTCAGGCTTGGGTCCATTCTTTGACTTCTTCCCGGCAGCTGGCTTACCGGGCGCGGCAACATCTTTGCCGTCCTTCTTGAAGTTCTTCTTACCCTTGCCCTTCTTGAACTTAGTGGTCTTATTGACCATCAACACTTGATGTTCTTTCTTGATTTCAACCTCTGCTGACTTCAGCATGGAAAATACTTCAGGAATGGTCTTCACCATCCCCTGCATATTGTAGTTCAACACAAAGCTCTTGTAGCTCAGTGGGAGCGACTGAAGGATTCTGTCAATGACCGCCTTGTCTGGGAGGTTGATCTCCAGCTGGGACAGGCGGTTGTGCAACCCAGACATTTTGAGTATGTGCTCACTGACAGAACTGTTTTCCTCCATCTTACAACTATAGAACTTGTCGGAGACTTCATATCTCTCGACCCGGGCATGAGCTTGAAAAACCATTTTCAGCTCCTCGAACATCTCATATGCTCCGTGTTTCTCAAAACGCTTTTGGAGCCCCGGTTCTAAGCTGTAAAGCATGCTGCACTGAACGAGGGAGTAATCATCAGCACGTGACTGCCAAACGTTCATAACGTCTTGGTTCTCTGGGATGGGTGCTTCACCTAGCGGTTCATCTAGGACATATGCTTTCTTGGCTGCTATGAGGATGATCCTCAGGTTTCGGACCCAGCCGAATAGTTGCTGCCATCATCTTTCAGCTTGGTTTTCTCTAGGAACGCGTTGAAGTTCATGTTGACATGAGCGTTGGCCATTTGATCTACAAGACATATTTTGCAAAAGTTTTAGAATAATTTCATGATAATTAAGTTCATCTAATCAAATTATTGAATGAACTCCCACTCAGATTTGACATCCCTCTAGTCATCTAAGTGTTACACGATCCGAGTCGACTAGGCCGTGTCCGATCATCACGTGAGACGGACTAGTCATCATCGGTGAACATCTCCATGTTGATCGTATCTTCCATACGACTCATGTTCGACCTTTCGGTCTCTTGTGTTCCGAGGCCATGTCTGTACATGCTAGGCTCGTCAAGTTAACCCTAAGTGTTCTGCATGTGTAAATCTGTCTTACACCCTTTGTATGTGAACGTAAGGATCTATCACACCCGATCATCACGTGGTGCTTCGAAACGACAAACTTTAGAAACGGTGCACAGTTAGGGGGAACACTTTCTTGAAATTGTTATAAGGGATCATCTTATTTACTACCACCGTTCTAAGTAAACAAGATGCATAAAACATAATAAACATCACATGCAATTATATAGTAGTGACATGATATGGCCAATATCATATAGCTCCTTCGATCTCCATCTTCGGGGCTCCATGATCATCTTCGTCACCGGCATGACACCATGATCTCCATCATCATGATCTCCATCATTGTGTCTTCATGAAGTTGTCACGCCAACGACTACTTCTACTTCTATGGCTAACGCGTTTAGCAATAAAGTAAAGTAATTTACATGGCGTTCTTCAATGACACGCATGTCATACAAAATAAAGACAACTCCTATGGCTCCTGCCGGTTGTCATACTCATCGACATGCAAGTCGTGATTCCTATTACAAGAACATGATCTCATACATCACAATATATCATTCATCATTCATCACAACTTCTGGCCATATCACATCACATGACAATTGCTGCAAAAACAAGTTAGACGTCCTCTAATTGTTGTTGCATCTTTTACGTGGGTGCAATTGGGTTCTAGCAAGAATGTTTTCTTACCTACGAATAACCACAACGTGATTTTGTCAACTTCTATTTACCCTTCATAAGAACCCTTTTCATCTAATCCGCTCCAACTAAAGTAGGAGAGACATACACCCGCTAGCCACCTTATGCAACTAGTGCATGTCAGTCGGTGGAACCTGTCTCACGTAAGCGTACGTGTAAGGTCGGTCCGGGCCGCTTCATCCCACAATACCGCTGAAGCAAGAAAAGACTAGTAGCGGCAAGCAAGTTGACAAGATCTACGCCCACAACAAAATTGTGTTCTACTCGTGCAATAGAGAACTACGCATAGACCTAGCTCATGATGCCACTGTTGGGGAACGTTGCAGAAAATTAAAATTTTTCCTACGGTTTCACCAAGATCCATCTATGAGTTCATCTAAGCAACGAGTCATGGGAGAGAGATTGCATCTACATACCACTTGTAGATCGCGTGCGGAAGCGTTCAAGAGAACGGTGATGATGGAGTCGTACTCGCCGTGATTCAAATCACCGATGACCAAGTGCCGAACGGACAGCACCTCCGCGTTCAACACACGTACGGAGCGGATGACGTCTCCTCCTTCTTGATCCAGCAAGGGGGGAGGAGAGGTTGATGATGATCCAACAGCACGACGGCGTGGTGGTGGATGCAGCAGAACTCCGGCAGGGCTTCGCCAAGCTACTGCGGGAGGAGGACGTGGTGTAGCAGGGGGAGGGAGGCGCCAAGACTTGGGGTGCGGCTGCCCTCCCTCCCCCCTCCTTTATATAGGCCCCCAGGGGGGGCACCGGCCCTGGGAGATCCAATCTCCCAAGGGGGCGGCGGCCAGGGGGGGTGGAGTGCCCCCCAAGGCAAGTGGGGCGCCCCTCACCTAGGGTTTCCAACCCTAGGCACAAGGGGGCCCCAGGGGGGGGGTGCACCAGCCCACTAGGGGCTGGTTCCCCGTCCCACTTCAGCCCAACGGGCCCTCCGGGATAGGTGGCCCCACCCGGTGGACCCCCGGGACCCTTTCGGTGGTCCCGGTACAATACCGGGTGACCCCGGAACTTTCCCGATGGCCGAAACAGCACTTCCTATATAGTTTTCTTTACCTCCGGACCATTCCGGAACTCCTCGTGACGTCCGGGATCTCATCCGGGACTCCGAACAACATTCGGTTTGCTGCATACTCATATTCATACAACCCTAGCGTCACCGAACCTTAAGTGTGTAGACCCTACGGGTTCGGGAGACATGTAGACATAACCGAGACGGCTCTCCGGTCAATAACCAACAACGGGATCTGGATACCCATGTTGGCTCCCACATACTCCTCGATGATCTCATCGGATGAACCACGATGTCGAGGATTCAAGCAACCCCGTATACAATTCCCTTTGTCAAGCGGTATGTTACTTGCCCGAGACTCGATCGTCGGTATCCCAATACCTCGTTCAGTCTTGTTACCGGCAAGTCACTTTACTCGTACCGTAATGCATGATCCCGTGACCAGACACTTGGTCACTTTGAGCTCATTATGATGATGCACTACCGAGTGGGCCCAGTGATACCTCTCCGTAATACGGAGTGACAAATCCCAGTCTCGATCCGTGTCAACCCAACAGACACTTTCGAAGATACCTGTAGTGCACCTTTATAGTCACCCAGTTACGTTGTGACATTTGGTACACCCAAAGCACTCCTACGGTATCCGAGAGTTACACGATCTCATGGTCTAAGGAAGAGATACTTGACATTGGAAAAGCTCTAGCAAAACGAACTACACGATCTTGTGCTATGCTTAGGATTGGGTCTTGTCCATCACATCATTCTCCTAATGATGTGATCCCGTTGTCAATGACATCTAATGTCCATAGTCAGGAAACCATGACTATCTGTTGACCAACGAGCTAGTCAACTAGAGGCTTACTAGAGACGTATTGTGGTCTATGTATTCACACGTGTATTACGATTTCCGGATAATACAATTATAGCATGAATAAAAGACAATTATCATGAACAAGGAAATATAATGATAATCCTTTTATTATTGCCTCTAGGGCATATTTCCAACAACAACGTTTTGACATAAGTTAGTAGGGGCATTTTACCATGTGCCACACGTGGTAAGCAATCCAAACTATTTGAAGAAAAATTGGTGGCATTTTGGTTCACATGGCCAATAGACATATGTGAGAGAAATGTGAAATTGCCGTGCAAAAAAAAGAAGAAAGAAATGTGAAACTAGTGAGGTTTTATTTAAGAGAGCCAAGGCAAAGCAAGTTGCGGAAGAAAATATCTGCCGAGCAGACACCAACCGAACCGACCGCCACGAATGCACTCTGCTCCAGCGAGCCAGCCATATAACCGAAAACCCTAAAACCCATCCCCCATCTCTCATTTTCCTCCACCCTTCCTCGAAGGGCGACCGCTCCCGCCGCCGCCGCCATGCCGAAGCACTACTTTACTGCATCACCCTTTCCTCTTTAAGGGAAAACCAACGCAAGCTCAAGAAGCAGCAGTTTCCAAGTCGTGTGGTTGTCCCACGGTATCGTTTGTAAGGGTCTGGAGCTCACCCGAAGAGCTACCCCTAGTGGAAGGGAGCCAACGCATTTGCGGTTTGTGGTTATCGGAGAAAAAGGTGAGATATTTGTTGTCGTGGGAGTATTCGTTGTTCCTCCTCTCCAACGGAGTTTGGCACACCCCCCGAGTGTGTGAACTTCGGATTACATCATCGTCCCCACTGCTTTCGGTTGTCTCTTTCACCCTGGCCTTACTTGTCGTTTCTAATTGCTTGTGTGTTGCCTTGTGTAGCTTACTAGTTCGTTGCAACACATCATATAGGGTTGTACCACCTGGTTGCATTTCTAGAGAACTTATATTTCTGCACTTGACTGTAGGCGTTATTGACATCTTTGATCCTCCAGTTTGACTTGGTGAAAACTGAACCTATTTTTGTGGGTGAACTTTGAATATTTTGAAGCCAAGGGGTATTTCTTCTCCTCTCCTTGACTTGCTGACCATGGCTAGTTTTTCAAACACTCGCGAGCTTCTCTTCCTAGCGGGTAGGACCATGTGAATCACCGGGTGTGAAATTTACCCCCCCCCCCCATCGACACAATAAAAGCGAGATATGTTCCTTTTCTTGATTCATTTACTTAAGTGACAAAGAAACAATCCACATGTCACAACAATTTGCTTGCTTTTATGTGTCGACACATATAGAGTCGCCTGCTCATGCGGTATATCAAGCCAAGCATTTAAGTATTGCCTCTAAGCTTGCTTTCATTCGCCGCTAGAAAAAATACACTCACATAATAAACATTTTAAAACAAGGTTTATCACTTGAAACATCTCCAAGCTCCATTTTGTCCCAACGCCATCAAGCTACTCTCAAAATGCCTTGCACTTTAAGATTGAAAGGAAACAATCTATATGCATTATTTTCTCCAATTCAAAGAACCTTGGATGATATTCACATTTTGGTTCACACGGCCAATAAACAGATGTGAAAAAAGTGAAATTAGTGGGGTTTTATTTAAGAGAGCCAAGCCAGTTGCGGAAGAAAATATCTGCGCGCGAGCAGACACGACCGAACCGACCGCACTCCGCTCCAGCGGTCCAGCCATATAACCCAAAACCCTAAAACCCATCTCCCCCTCTCTCGTTTTCCTCCACCCTTCCCCGAAGGGCGACCACTCCCGCCGCCATGCCGAAGCACTACCGCCCCGCGGTAATCCTCCCGTCTCCTCCCTCCCCCGCCTTCCTCCCAAGGTCCTTCTTCTCCGCGCCGCCGGCAGAGTCCCTCACCCGCTGCTTCTGCTGTGCTCCAGGGCAAGAAGAAGGAGGGGAACGCCGCCAAGTACATCACCAGGACCAAGGCGGTCAAGTACCTGCAGATCAGCCTCGCCGTCTTCAGGTCCCCCTCTCGCTCCCCGTCACTTCCTCCCACCGCCGACGAGACGACCGCTGATTCATGAGCGGTCTTCGCGATTAAATTTGGCCAAATCTTCGGCGGCGCTGATGTTAATCCAATTTATTCAACGTGTTCTGTCCGGCTCGCGTGCTGCGAAATTAGGATGGCACAGTAGATTTTACATGGGAGGGAAGTCACCGCGGTTTTATTTGGGTTAACTTTTTTTTCTTCTTCGCAAATTGCTGCAGGAAACTATGCATTCTCAAGGGAGTGTTTCCCAGGGAGCCCAAGAAGAAGGTGGAGGGGAACCACAAGACCTATTACCACATGAAGGACATCGCCTTCCTTGCCCATGACCCCTTGATTGAGAAGTTCAGGTACTTGGCTAGCTTCCTTACCAAAGTCTGCCACATGGTTGATATAACCGTAAAAGGGATTTCTTGCGCTCTCTTTGCTGTATCACCAGGGGGTAATTTAGTGTCTCAGGAATTTCATCGTTTTTATTGATTGAGGTGACCAGGATGGAAGTATCTCAAAGCTTTCTTATTGAGTTATTTCTTAGTTGTGTGACTTATTTGCTCCTGGTAACTGTCAGCTCGTCGTTAAATGTAGCATGCGGCAGAGGGAATGGTGACCTTAAGTGGGGAGCTATAGTTTCACTAGAGTGCTAGTGTCCATCAGCGAAAAAACAAGTCAAAACAAACTTAGTGTAGTCAATCAATGCGCCATTATCTATTCAATTTGCACCCTCTGTATTTAGTATGTCGTTAATGACATTTTGATAACTGGAATACAGACTAGCAATCTGTGGTTACTTACTTGGTCGCTGCTCATGAAAATCCTGGCTTATCTGTTTGTATGATTGGCAATATTGGTATCTAACTGCACTGATTTTTTTGCTTGGAGTAAATACATCGTGAGTATATGACAATGAGTAATCGCTCGTTGATAGTTTTGGATTTCCTAATGGGATTGTTATTTCATGTTATCAGAGAAATCAAGGTTCACAGAAAGAAAGTTAAAAAGGCTATGGCTAAGAAAAACAGGGATCTGGCGGACAGATTGTTGAATCGACCACCAACTTACAAACTTGATAGACTTATCATTGAAAGGTAATGAGTGATTTCAAGTTGATTCTTTTGGTCTTTATCCATACTGGTCTCTCACATGTGTGTTTCTGTCTTTGTTGTTGTACAGATATCCATCTTTTGTTGATGCCCTCAGAGACTTGGATGATTGCCTAACGATGGTGCATTTATTCGCGGCTTTACCTGCTATTGAAGGTGAACGTGTGCAAGTACAACGAATCCATAACTGCCGCAGGTATGCCCCCTTCTGGATTAGTGAATCCTCTCTCAGAACATCACACACATAACCCCCACATGGTGTTTAGATTTCTGCTCCCAGAGATTCTGTTATCATGGTTTGACCTTCCTCACCTTTCTAGCAACTACAATGCACCTCTGTGTCTGGCCTGTTTTGTTGTGACCTTAAGAATTTGAGGATGTGAAAGTTGTAACAGTTTTTCCAGCAGCCATGAAATACCTGGATTTTGCTAAAATCCATATTCTCACCTTCTTAGTTCGTGCACCACCTGTGTTGAATGTCAGAATATTGTCATGCAAATGCAAAGGCAAATTGGTGCTTGCTTCTTTCAGAGATTTATTTTGCACTACTAATATACATCCTTGTACATTGTAGGTTAAGCCATGAATGGCAAGCATATATTTCTCGAACTAATTCCCTGCGGAAGACATTCATATCTGTGAAGGGCATATACTACCAGGTAGGTTTTGTGCAGTTGTGTATCCGCATATCTTTGCGCACATTTAGTCATTTATAGTCGATGTTTATAATTTTACTATGTTTTGAAGGCTGAAGTTCAAGGGCAAAAGATCACTTGGCTTACTCCGCATGCTCTTCAGCAAGTTTTAACTGATGATGTCGACTTCAATGTGATGCTCACCTTTTTGGAATTCTACGAGGTAGGCGAGATTGTGGATACTCTTCAGTTATCGTGCATTCCTGCTTACTTGGCAGTATCACATCCATTTAAATAAGTTTAGTGGATAGACAAAACTGCAAGCTTTACCAAATCCTGTCCTGCCTGCAGACTCTTCTAGGATTTGTGAACTTCAAGCTTTACCATTCCATAAATGTGAACTATCCGCCTATTCTGGATCCTCGTCTAGAAGCTTTGGCTGCTGGTAAGTACTGGTGCTTGTTATAGTCATGCTAGCTAGCATGTTTGTTTCCTTTATGTGCTTGTGCTCATACTATGTACCATGTTTGTTTTAGGATTCTTTTTGCTACATTCTCTTGACTCTTCTTTGTTTGACATTCTCACTGATGTTCGTACCAGAGCTCTATGCATTGTCCCGGTATATGTCTTCTGGAAGACTGCCGGGAAATCCAGAGTCTAATGGGCTTATTGAAGACAAAGAGACTGAAAATAATAAAGAGAGCTCAAAAACTGACGAGTCTGAGCTCAGATTGGCACAGCTTCAACATCAGCTACCTGCTAATGAACCTGGTGCGTTAATGCATCTTGTAGAAGAATCAACTGCTGATGATACAGAAGAGGAAAGCGTTAAAGAGTGCAGGACTTTATTCAAAGATCTGAAGTTCTACTTAAGTCGTGAGGTATTAAAGTGAATTTATTATTACTGCAAAGCTATTGTTTTTGAACTAATTGCCTCGGCTTCAATATCGTATATCCTTTTATTATCTTCCTCTTCATTCTCAGGTTCCCAGGGAGTCTCTCTTGTTTATAATTCCGGCATTTGGAGGAACTGTTTCGTGGGAAGGAGAAGGAGCTCCATTTGATGAAACAGATCAAGATATCACCCATCAGGTAGATTTTGCTTGCCCATGAGCTTTTACCAGGGGTATCAAGATCAGTCTAGATTTCCTCTACACAAGATACCATCCCACTTCATTCCACTGCACACATGCCCTCTCATTGTAGTTTATCTGCTGACTATTAAGTATCGTCATGTTGTTTTGCAGATTGTTGACAGGCCAACCCAGAGCCATGTTTTCCTCTCCAGGCATTATGTTCAACCACAATGGATTTTTGATTGCGTAAACATTCTCAAAGTAATTCCCACAGATGACTATATTGTTGGAAGGTATGTCTCCCAGGTTATGTATCATATGTATATGCTGATACACATGACATCACTTAAGTATGCACATTCCTGTTGCTAAAGTAACAAATCAGGACTGTGTGTTAGTGTTTAAAGTCCCTTCTAAACTATCTCAACTAATTGATGGTTGTGTGTAGCATCATTAAAATTGTGATTTGTGTAATGTAATATTGACACCGTACTTGCTAGCTTAGCTGAATGCTTGTTACACATCAAATTCATCAAATTGTGTTTAAACACCTTTAAACAATGAGGATATTGTCTGCCTTCCTTCTTTAGTATTCCTTGCGCTTATAACTGAACTGATAGCTTTTGTCTACTGCCTATTAAGTGTGCTATGCAAAATATGTTTTCAAGTAGCTTAACTCATGCAGCAGTGATGATGCTGAATTTTTTTTTTTTTTGATCTTAGGGTGCCTCCACCACATATATCTCCTTTTGTGGACAACGATAAAGAGGGTCATATACCTGACTATGCAGTGACCTTGGAGGGATATAAATCTGCTGGTCAAAACCAAGTTATGCCTCTGCCAGGTTTAGGTGATGAAGATCTGGGCAATTCGATAGTAGAGGCAAAATCTGAGCATAATGAATTTGCTAAAAAGAAGAAGGAGGTGAGCTCCTTCCCGTTTTAGTATACAAGTCTCTTGTACTTCTTCTGTCTTATTTATTTATTTGCACACATGCACTTTGTGTAATGTCGCCATCCCCCTTCTATTTAAAAGTTGGAGATGCAAGAGAAGAAATACCACGAGGAGCTGAAGATGGAAATCGAGGGAACTACTTTCTCTAATTTGTCAAATAAGAAGGCTGATAGCGCAGCCGATGTTACTGATGAAGATGATGAGACCCAGGCAGCTATGGAACAAGCTGAGAAGGATGCTGACGACATTGCCAAGTCTGTCGTTTCCAGGAAGAAGAGAGGCCTTATGGAAGCAATGAAGGTACATCTCCTTGTACTATGGCACTATAGCTACTACTGTACTCTTCAATTGCAGTATTGTATTGTTCGGCTTGTTTATAATTTAGTCTTTTTGAATGAGATCTCATTTGTTCCCTTTGTCAAACTTTATTCAAAATTTTAATGCCTGGTTCTGTGGGTTTAAATGAGAAAGTTTCATACCGATACAGTGGATTATTAGTATTAGCCAGTGGATTGAAGTTGATGGCTTATGAGACCACACCACTTAGGTCGTTTGTACAAGATACACCAACACCTGTTTGTGCAACATCTTTATCCGCCCCGTAAATTATTTTTACCCATTGGCTTGTATTTGCTATTTCTCTGCCCGTGCATTACTGTAGTTTCATTGTTGGATAAGTATATATAAATACTTGGCCACATTTTATTTACATGAAATTCGTCCTGTATTACCACCTTGTCCTTTTCATCTTATAGAGTGGCTTTTTTTACCATGGCCATACGGTGACCCATCTCACCATGGTGTAGCGTGTTCTTTTGCACATTTGTTCACGTTTCTAGTGCCACAAAATCCCCGACGCATACAAATGCTCAGCTGGATCCTTGCTTTTCTGATACAGATGCCGCTTAAGTTGCATCGACGCTAATACCTGCCATTCTGGATGACATTTTTGAGATGTATAGCTGATCCGGTACTGTTTGTGATCTTGCAGATTAGCAATGATAGGAAGAAGAGCAAAGTGGAGCTGCTCAAGCAAAGGAAGAAGGCGGCCGAGTCCAGTGCTTCTGCTAAAGCTAAACGTCGCTGATGCACTAAATTCATCAGGCAACGGCATATTATGTTGTAGTAGCCGTTTTGATGATACGCTTTTACCAGTCCTGGTGGTATTTATGTTGTTTTTACTGGATGTACTGAGATACTTGAATGGAAATTTTTGATCTGTTTTAAGCTGTGCTCACGTAGTTGATCGTGACCAAATCTGAATTTGTTGGCCGGTGTGCATACTTTTCTGATGTTCCTAGGGTCCTTTGTTCCCACTGCGTGAAAGCAATTTGCTCTGTTATTCTGCTAACTGTCTAGAAGAATGGGTTACAGAGGCATTTTGACTTGCATTTCAAATAAATATTGCTGCGTGTGGTGTGTCTTTCCAGGGATTATCCTCGTATATAAGAAAGAAAAAAGTCTTTTTCAGATGAAAAATTGCAAAGTCAATAGTTATTTGAAACCTTGGACAGTTCAGACTTTTTTTATTTGAAACTCGAGACAGTTCAGGCTTTCTTTTGAAACCTTAGACAATTCAGATATTTTTTTGAAAAGTGAGACACTTTTTTTAAAATTGAGAGATTTCATGTTTTTTTTATCAAGCTTTAGACAATTCAGACCTTTTTTTGAAACTCGAGACAATTCAGCCCCCCCCTTTTTTTTGTAACTCGAGGCAGTTCAGGCTTTTTCATGAAACTTGAGACAATTCAGATTTCCTTTTGGATTGAGCAGAGGGGATAACGGCGCGTCCACAGCCATCGCATTCAACCTGATCGTCTTTTCCCTCCACAACCTGATCGTCTTTTCCCTCCGTCCGCGCCATGCCCGTCTCCGCCTTCCTGTCCCTGGACCCCGCCGCCCACCTCCTCCTCCTCCCCGCTGCGCGGCCACGTCCGCCGGCGCCGCGCTTGCGCCGGTTGGTGGTGCTCAGGGCCACCTCCGTCTCCGCCGTCGCGGAGGAGTCCTCTGCCGCCGCGGCCGCGCGGGGCCGGCTCGAGTCGCTCAGCCAGGTGGCCGGCGTGCTCGGGACCCAGTGGGGCGACGAGGGCAAGGGCAAGCTCGTCGACATCCTCGCCCAGCGCTTCGACGTCGTCGCCCGCTGCCAGGTCTCCCACTCTCTCCCTCTCCCACGCGCGCGCAAGCTCGTTGCTGCTTAATAATGCCTTTGTTCGTTTAGCCCGGATGGTGTTCGGTCAATTGCTCCACAGCTCTCCGGTCAAGCGCCAGCCAGCGGAAATTGCCCAATGCCTTCGCTTGTCCGGCGATCGTGCAACCAGAAATGGGAGCATACAACTTCGACCTGTTAAAAATGTTGTCAATCCTACATTTCCCTAGTTGAGCACTCTGAATTGCACGCCTGTGGCCAGTTAGCTTAATTTGGCTCTATTGCCTGGACTTACTTTCTGCAATAAGATTTGGTCATGCCTGTTTTACCTTTTTTAATAACGTGTAGGGTGTTTTGCATTTACTTCTTAGGGTGGAGCCAATGCTGGACACACCATATATAATTCCGAGGGGAAGAAGTTCTCGCTGCACCTCGTTCCATCGGGGATCCTCAACGAGAACACGCAGTGCGTGATTGGCAACGGGGCAGTGGTTCACCTCCCCGGGTTCTTCAAAGAAATCGATGGGCTGGAGTCCAACGGAGTTTCATGCAAAGGGAGAATTCTGGTGTCAGATCGCGCCCATCTTCTGTTTGATTTTCATCAGGTTGTCGATGGGCTTCGAGAGGTGGAGCTCGGGAACTCCTTCATAGGAACGACAAAGAGGGGAATCGGGCCGTGCTATTCGAACAAGGTCATCAGGAACGGGCTCAGGGTCTCTGATCTGCGGCATATGGACACCTTTGGTGCCAAACTTAACACCCTGCTGAAAGATGCAGCTACGCGCTTCAAAGGATTTGAATATAGCAGCAAGACCCTCAAGGAGGAGGTCGAGAAGTACGAAAGGTTCGCCGAACGTCTGGGGCCTTACATTACCGATACCGTGCATTTCATGAATGAGTCGATCTTGCAGAAGAAGAAAATATTGGTTGAAGGTGGCCAGGCTACCATGTTAGACATTGACTTTGGTACATATCCATTTGTTACCTCCTCAAGCCCTTCAGCTGGGGGGATCTGTACTGGCCTCGGCATTGCTCCAAGAACCCTCGGCGATATCATTGGAGTGGTGGGCTCAGTTGCCTCTGAACCGCTTAAATATTCTCTTCATCGCCCACTCGTCTTCCGCTCCAAAACCTAACATATTTCTACCTGCAGGTAAAAGCTTACACAACCAGGGTTGGGTCTGGCCCATTCCCAACGGAGCTGTTGGGCAAGACCGGCGATTTGCTCCGTGCATCTGGAATGGAGTTCGGGACCACAACAGGTCGGCCCAGGCGTTGTGGCTGGCTCGATATAGTCGCGCTCAGATACTGCTGCCAAATCAACGGCTTCTCCTCCCTGAACCTGACGAAACTCGACGTGCTGACCGGGCTGAAGGAGATCAAGCTGGGCACTTCCTACTGTACCGAAGATGGCAAAGCGATCGAGTCGTTCCCGGCAGACCTCGATATCTTGGAGCAAACAAAGGTAACGAAGAACGAAGAACAGTGTGTGATGCTCATATTACGTTTCATGTGATTTAATGTGGCCTTTGCTTGGCTTGACGGTTGTCTCTGCCGGTGTAGGTCAAGTATGAGGCTCTGCCTGGGTGGGAGGAGGACATTTCGTCGGTGCGGGACTACGATGACCTCCCGGAGACCGCTCGTCTGTACGTGGAGAGGATAGAGGAGCTGGTTGGTATCCCTGTCCATTACATCGGTGTCGGACCCGGGCGGGATGCCCTTATATACAAATAGGGGATTTTGTCAGACATGTCTCTTATTATTTATGCAAGTTCCGCATTCGGGCAATATGATTCAATCCAATTGCCTTCTTTACTGCTTCTCATGAAGCCATTTGCTGGCTGGAGTTAGGGTTCAGACATCCTCAATGAAGCTCAGCTCCAACGTTGTACAGTGGAGACACAACCCAATGTTGTATACACTGGAGCCACGAAGACTAAGGATCAGTCTGGGTTGCTGAACTGTGTTATATCTGATCAAAATGGATGAATACCCTACCGGGAGTCAGATGCAGATTTGAGATTGAAAATCTCTCCTCTCCACGGGGTTCTCGCATATGTTGAAGATGCTCGAATGCCCTCTTGAAAAGGGGGGAAATGAGCTTTGGGCTTTGGGGGTATCAAATACGCTGGATCGAATGGTTTAAATTTCTTCTTTTCTATACTGAAATATGTGACCACAAAATAAAATACAAAGCCATCTCTGCAGAATTGGGGCTTCAACCAAGTACAAGCACTGTAACTTGTACTCAACCAACGCTACATATGTTAGAATGTCGATGTGGGCATGGCCAAACGATTTTTTAACTTGCCAATTCCATTTTTTATTTTGGAGAAGCCTGGATAAAAATAGCAAGCTAAAAAAAAGCACCCGACATTCGACTTCGGGACGAACCAGTTGGTTCATCACTCCGTTACAAACATGTCAGAGCCCAGCTTGAAAACTGCGTCAAATCTCAACAGGTGTGTGCAGATAGAAAACCACAACCACTCATTGAACGGCACTAGAGACAATAGCTTGTAGAACTGCCGTAGAAGCCGTGCAGATCGATGGGGACACAACTACGAAAGAGTGGTAGTTAGAAATTAGCATCGGTCGTATTCAAGCTCGTCCGGTGTAATTGGCCTCTTGAGTGGAATGATGATGATGATGGATTTCTTGTCAACATCTTGTGATAGTATTTTTTTGTTGTTGTAATAGTGTCTTTCTCATATCTAAGAAAATAAAAAAGGTGAGCAATAGCATCCGAGCAAATAATCTGAGTATGAGACGACAAAAGTATGGCACTTATCAAGGTCATGTCTTCTTTCCACAGTACTATCGAAGCACCCTTCGATTAACTACATAGCCAAGCTACAGAAACGACGAGCATAGTTTTTTTCTTTCGAAACGGAGACAATTTTTCTGCCTCATGCATTAATTAACCGAAAACCTGACGGAAACCATCGTAATCCGCTGAGTGGCACACACCTTGCAGAGAGAGCTCATCGAGATAGCGCATTGACGTCATCATCACCACCTCTCCTCAAATAGGCGTCCCTTCTCCCTAAGCAGGCAACTCCGACTTCGCCGAAGACGCTGTCGACCTAGCCAACTCCAAAACGCCGTGCAGAGTCACATGAAGATCCATGCGAAAGCCCAACCACCTGCAACAAGAAGAACACAACTTCAATTCGGAGGGAGAACAATGAAGGAGAATTATGCAAGGTTGGTGGCGTGAAAGAACACCGAACAAACCATATGTTGCTCGTCATTGCCACCACCGGGACCCCGTTGCTGCAACTCCGACTTCATAGCAAGAAACACACTGAGGCAATCCCACGGACACGCCGAAGAAGAACCGACTGCCGCAACAATGGCCACGCCTCCTACAAGGCCATTTACTTTTTTTCTCTCTCATATGAATCTCTTACCTCCCGCTATTGGAGATCCTATTTGCTTATCAGGCAAAGCCTGTTGGGTGAAATCTCTTTCTAGATCCTCGATAAAACTACGTCCAGGAAAAACCGATGCTCTTAGATCTGTTCTCAATAGCTTGTGATAAGGCAAGAAAGCTAGTAGATGCCCTGCCTTGCATTAAAGCATCGATCTAGTCCTCTATTAGATATGAATTTCATGTCATTCCATTTCATTTCAAGTAACGAGAGGGCTATATATTAATAATGCAAAAAGAGAGGAACTTGCTTAGGTGGCTGTCGAGCTCTAACATGTGGACTCTTCCAATATCTCCCCAAGTTAGGTTAAGGACATAGTCGCAGGGAAACAAGCCTTTCGAGGGAGATTCCTAGCAGAGACGTGGTTCTGGCTTCTTCTCTTATTTGTCCTTTATGCAAAGCGATCTATGGTCTCAACAAGCCCCAATCCTCTGACTTTCAATTGGGTACCTTCCTGGGTCTCATCTGTGTTGCATGTAGGTTGTGAGGTGCCTCAAGATGGCCATC